GAAATGCAATATATATATATATATATATTTTTAGTGCAAACGCATCAAAGCTTGTGTTAAAGTGTTGCCGTCACTCACGCACAGCTCACTCCTGATTCCGTGTCCTCCGATTTGGGATTCCGTTTCCGTCCTGCCGTCGTTTTGATGGGGAAAAATGCCGAGTCAGTACAATATCTTTGATGACAACTGTGCGACCACGAAGGGACGCCAAGGACAGAGCTAAAACTCTGGACTGGTTTTGAACCAGGGTTATCTTCCCCTCCAAGTAGTGCTGGAGTTACGACTGGCGAGGACAGGGAGGGTGGGACGGGACAGTAGGCATTTTTTTTTTGCTTTTTTTTTTTTTTTTTTGGCAAATTCCTCGTTATAAAACTAGACACAGTTCCTCGGACGGCCTCTAGGGATCAGGGATGATAACCCAGATTAAAACTGGATCTAGCACCCCTGCTCGGCCAACTAATCCCGCCGAGAATGAAACAGAAAAAGGGGGCTGCTAAGGAAGTGGCGGGCAGCGGCTGTGCTTGGGGTTGGGTAACAGGCTCGAGCTGTACCCCAAAATCACACTTTGGTTTGCCGTGTTGCGGAGAATTTGGGAAGAGACTGCGGGCGTCCCTCGGCAAGGGGAGAACGAGGGCACCCACTTGAACGACAGCGACCAAGAGTTTAAAAAATATATAGATATACCTACAAAATGCTATAATTGTGCTCATACCCAAGCGACATCCTGCCAGTCTTCTGTTTTTTTCTTAGCCAAAGAGGACTTCGCGTCTAGCTGAAAGTAGAAGCTGGATTTAAGAGAAGAAGGCATCAAATAGGCAAAAGGAATATAAAGGTGTTGGTGGGGAATTCATCGATTGTGAGGGGGCTTTAGATGGGGGGGGGAAACAGAGAGAGAGAGAGAGAGAGAGAAAGAAGGACACACAACTGCGAAAACTGTCATGGAGACAGGGGTGTGAAAACAACTTGGGCGAGAAGAAACCACAACTTTTGGTTACTATAAGGAATCTCATGTATCTACCTATTTACAAAGTCCACGCTAATTTTTGCATATGCAATCATTGAAAATCAGTGCGAAGCCGAGGATCTCTGTGGAAGAGAAGGTGGAGGACGGGGTGGAGGGAGAGGGGAACCCAGCCGTCTAGGTCCCCGTTCCCCCCCCCCCCCGGCCATGTAGATCCCTTGTAGGGGGAGGGGAAGGAGGGGAGGAGAAGAGGCTGCGAGGCTTGACGTGGGAACAACCGGCTGGACNAATCCCCCTCAGACAATCTCCCCAGCTACATTCAAACTTCCCGACGCCTCGTGGGCGTTCGAATTATCTTCAAAGTGCTGTTCTAACTCGTCCTGGGGCGCGGCAGGCCCCTGCGTCTCCTCAGCCTCCTCGCCCCCCGCCAGGCTGCTGTCGTCGGGATTCAAACTCGGGACCGGGGCGACGGCCGCTTCCCTCACCCGCGGCTTGCGCCCCCGGCGGGAAGGGATGCCGTTGCAGCCATCTTTTTTAAGGTGCCGATGCAAATGGTCGGATCGGACGAAAGTCTTGAAGCAGCTCTCGCACTGGTACGGGCGGAGGCCCGTGTGGACGCGCATGTGATTCTTCAGGTCGTAGTTGTGGGCGAAGGCGGCCCCGCATTGCTGGCACAAGTAGGGCTTCTCCCCGGTGTGTTTTCTCATGTGGACCTTCAGCTTGTCTTGCCTGCGGTGGAAAGAAAAGGAAAAAAAGAGAGTCAGGGCGAATTGGCTCGCTGACCGAGCGTGCTCTTTTTCTCGTCTTGGTCAAGCTAGGTGTCTGCCGAGATTAAAGCCGGGTTTTTTTTTTTAAACTCAGCCACCTGAAAGTGGGTGTCATTGTGGCAAGTAATGCTGCCATGATATATAGGACTCCGAGGGAGGAAGATTGAAAGGACTGTTTATTGGAAATATCATATTGGCGAAAACCGACTCTGAATATTCCTTCAGTTTTCACCAAGTTAAAAGAAAAAGGTTTTCCCCTTCCCCAGTCAGTCAGTCAGTCAGTCAGTCAGTCACGTGGTCCAATCTTACTGTCATCCAGTTTCCTGGTAATGGCACTCCGCCTCTCTCCGACCACCTGTGGGAATGTCCTTGGTTCCCAAGAGAAAATATTTTGCTTTGGCTACAACCCCTTCCATCTCTACTCCACCCTCTGTAACCCTCGGCTCCAGTGTGGCAACCCTGAAGCTAGAAAATGGCCTTGCTTAGGCCAACTTTAGAGTTGACAGTGGGTAGACTTCAACTCCCAGAATTCCCCAGCCAGCTATTAATTTCTTTCTTTGCTTCATAATTTACAGTGGTGGGTTTCAAAATTTTTTAGAACCTCTTCTGTAGATGTGGCCTGCTTTGTGGGAGTGGCTTACCGGCCATGTGACTGGGTGGGAGTGGCTTGGCAGTCGTGTGACTGGGTGGGCATGGCCAACTTGTAAAATGTGGTGAAACTCACTTAACAACTCTCTTGCTTAGCAACCAAAATGTTGGCTCAGAAACTCTGGGAAGGGAGCTGGAACCGGTTCTAAATGGCACTGTAGATTTGTGGAATCTCTTCTATAGAAGA